TTTATTGATTACAGAAAATAAAAATAGTAAATCGCTGGTAAAGAATCAATTAATCAATTACTGTTAATAAACACTGGCACACCCAGACTCTTCTCACTGACAGACTCTCTCACTCACTATAATTAACAATCACTTTACACCCTCAGCTCAATCTCTAATCTCTCCCTCACACACACTTCACCCCCCTTTTTATACTAAAATTTTATATACTTTTAGTATAAAATTTATAACATTTTTATACTTCCCTCCTCCAGGTCACTCTTGAGGAGGAGGCCACTCGGAGTTGCACTGAGGCTGTCCAGGCGCCCTCTGAGATCGAACAGAGTCACTTGCGCAGCAGGACCAAGCAAGAAAATGAGGAGGAGGAGCAGCCTGGCCTCTCAGGTAAAAGAATAGGGTTGTTGTCAATTCTCAAAGGTCTGGGAGAAATCTCAAGAATTGTTAGGTTCCCCCAGTTCTCCAGGTGGACAGACCAAATTTCAGCCCAAGCCATGCTGGAAGTCAAGAACATTAGGAGGTTTTTATGCTGTGGAGTGAGGTTGATAAAGAGGTGGGCAACATTTAGCCCATAGGTTTCCCAAATTTTTTTGCCCTGTAGACCACTTGCCGACTTATTTGTTTTCCGTAGAGCCCCTGCCTACCTAATATCGCATTTTCCTAAACCTATTAATGTTCAAACGTGTTTTAAGGGTTTAACTACGTGGGCGCACGATGTGTGTGCCCGTATAGCTCAGTAATGAGAAATGACAAAATGTCATAGACCCCATTTACAACACACCGAGATTTACCATAAAAAATTTACCAATAATTTTACAAACTTACACATGAATGTAGCACACCACAATACAGATAGTACATAGTACCTAATTAAATAATATTATGAAATATTATGTGCACAGAATCTGTGCTTGGTGTAATTACGGAGCGCCTAAATATTTATTATGATCTGCCTAATAGGATCTGCTTCCGTAGACCCCCATTTACATCTCGGCACCCCTAATTTTTTCCCCTCTCTGACATGGACTCCCTACAAGTCGAAATCGACCCCTTGGGCTCCATATGATTTAGCCCATGGGCCATGCACAGTAGAGGGATGCTTTCATTCTTGGAAGACTCGATTCCCAGAATTCTCCCAAGAATTCACCAGACAAATGTCTGGGAGTTCCAGGCCACAAATCACATACCTACAGAGATGTACATTTCACTGACCTGGCCTTGCTGCCTGCTGAAAAAGGCAAAGGCTGCTGTGCCTGCTGGGAGACCTAGGTCTCGGTGAGATGTGGGATCTCAAGGGGTGTTAGGCTCTGTGGAATGCCCCTCCCGAAGAACTACACCTCTCGCAAGGACCTAGGCCTCCTAGGAAGCACTGAGGCTGTTGTGTCTTAGGACAGAAAGTAGGCCCCCGGGACCAGGGGTGGGGGTGGGGAAGGGCTCTAAGGAGCCTAGGGGCCATTTCTCCATGGATTGAGGGGCCCCCAGCACCCATGTCCCCATGCTTTTGCACCATTAAAAAAATCTTACTTTTTTAATCACTAGAGGGGGCAGTGTTTTCAGTTTCAACTATAGGTCTTCATTGATACACATGGCAGGGTATAAAAGGAGCCTCCTGGAAGAGTGGAAAGCATTGCAAATACCCTTGGGGGAATCCCTGGGCAAGGGTGTGTAGCCAGCTAATCCTTTCCATCCAAACATTGTGTAGGTAACATTGGGGGTGGGAGGATGGGAAACAATGTGTAGTCTGCATACAGTGGTGCCTCGCTTAGCGCTCGCTCCGTTGAGCGACAAAATCGCTTAGCGATGGGGTTTTGGCCATCGCGATCGATTAGTGATGGTCCCTATGGGGAAAAATTGCTTTGCGATGATTGCGGGGAAGCGATCACCGCAAAGCCCCCATTTTCGGCCAGCTGATTGGCGGTTCCAAAATGGCCACCGGAAAACAAAATGGCCGCCCGCTGTGTTGCCTCGCTTTAGATGCACCAAAAATAGCCGCCCCTATAGAGGATCTTTGTATAAGGTTAGTTTTTAAGCCCATTGGAACGCATTAATGGTGTTTTAATGCGTTTCTATGGGCTTTTTTATTCTGTTTAGCGATGAAATTGCTTAGCAACGTTTTTCCGGGAACGGATTAACGTCGCTAAGCAAGGCACCACTATAATTAAATTGTAGACCATCCAGAAAGTGTGTTCAGCACTATTGGACGATGTATGAGAATCCTTGCAAGTGCAGCTGCCTTTTTACTGCCGATGTTCACCCTCCAACATAGGGACAGTGACCGTGGCATGACGGTGGGGAGCAAGGGTCAAAGAGACATCCTCATGCAATTCTAGTCAGAAGGAGGAGAACCAAACACCCGGTTTCTGTACAATTCCTAGAGAAGAAAGGCGGGATAAAAATGGACTCCGTAAATGAACTGCTGGATAGTTCAGTGGTTTAGGTGTCTGTCTATAGAGCCAGAGATTAGGAGTTTGGTTCTCCGTTGCACATCCTTCAGAGGGTCTGGACTCAAAAATCCATAAGGTTCCTTCCAGCTCTAAGAGTGTTGTTGTTGTTAGAACCAGCTAGCCGTCGGAATTGTCTTGCTGAAGGATAGGCATCCCATTGGGCGCTGACTGGCTTCCTGCCTTTATTCCACCAGGAGGCGTGTGGCCCTGTGAGGCGGAGGGAGAGTCCGAAGGTTTTTCTTTGGCCCCTGTCCTGCACCAGGAGGCGGGAGACAGCGCCGCCCATCAGGTGAGCCCCAAGTGGCTGGAGAGAAGGAATCTGGGGCTGGGCGAGGAGCAGAGGAACAAATCCGTGGCTGTCCAGGTGGGCAGCCTCCATGAGCTCCTCAGCCAACAGAGGAGCAAGCGATGCGACAGGTGCCCCGTGTGCGGCAAGATGTTCAGCTGCAAATCGAGCCTGAAGGCGCATCAGAGGGTCCACACCGGAGAGAAACCCTACAAGTGCTCCGAGTGCGGGAAGAGCTTCGTCCAAGTCTCCAACCTGACGGCGCATAAGAGAACCCACACGGGGGAGAGACCGTACGGCTGCTCCGAGTGCGGGAAGAGCTTCAGCCGGAGCGACCATCTGACTTTGCACCAGAGGACGCACACGGGAGAGAAACCGTACATGTGCCTAGAGTGCGGGAAAAGCTTCAGCCAGAGCACCGACCTCACCTCCCATCAGAGAATCCACACGGGAGAGAAGCCTTACAAATGTTTGGAGTGTGGGAAGAATTTCAGCCGGAGCTACCGCCTTACCATACATCAGAGAATGCATACAGGGGAGAAGCCGTACAATTGCTTGGAATGCGGGAAAAGCTTCAGCCGGAGTGATCATCTTTCATCCCATAAAAAAATGCACACAGGGGAAAAGACGTAACAAAGTGAGACGGGTTTTTCTATAAAACTCAGCTGTCCTTCCTGCCCTAACCGTCTGAACATTCTCAAAGGATACAAACAGTAGAGATTGGAGAAAAAATGGATTTTAAAAATTGAGAATGATTACATATCTTGTGGGGGGGAGAGAAATACAAGTGCCTGTTTGGATAATTAGGACCAAATCAAATTACAGTAGGAGCTCTTATCCACGGGATCAGTATCCACTGATTCACTTATCTATGGTCTGAAAATATTAAAAACATTAAGAGAAAATTCCTAGAAATATGAATTTCTAAAGATGACATTACCTGAACTGGCCACTAGAGGGAGGCAGAGACCATGCTATGTATAGCGTTTGCTATTAAAATAGTGTTTGCTATAATCATGTTTTTGAACATCCGTGGGTGAGGGGGAGTTGGAATTTACCCATTGCTGATAAGGGGGTCCTACTGTAGATACAGAGCATAAAAATCAGAAGCAGAAGAAAATAAACAGCTGTTAATGAGGAGAGCGCTGTATTTGTATGTGGGTATCTACACTGTATCTACACTCATTTTCTTTGCTTTTTTTCCTAACTACTTATTGCATGATTGATAAACATTTCCTGTATTTTTTTAAATATTCATGACTTTTTCTTTAGTAATGAATATTTATTTGAGAACAAACTTCTAGATAAACCATACAGTTTTTCACTCTACAAAATTGGCTTGCTGAATTATTAATGTGTTGTTATTTTTAGCACAAAAAAAATACAGTAGTGCCTAGCTAGATGATGATAATCCGTTCTACTGAAATCACTGTTTAGCGAAATCATTGTCTAGCGAAAAGCATTTCCCCATTGGAATGCATTGAAACCTGTTTAATGCGTTCCAATGGGATAGAATCGTCATTGTCAAGCAAAGATCGGCCATAGGAAAGCCGCTTTGCGACCCACCAATCAGCTGTTTAAATAGCTGTCTTGCGAAGCGTAGGTCCCAAAAACACCTGTTTTGCGAGCGCGGAGGGAGCTGTCAAAATCGTCATCTAGCGAAAATTGGTTTGCGAAGCAGGGACCAAACATTGTCCAGCAAAATTCCCCCATAGGAATCACTGTTTTGCGAATCACTATAGCGATCACAAAAAGTCAATGTCTAGCGAAAAAACTGTCATGCGGGGTAACTGTCTAGCGAGGCACCACTGTATTTAAAAAGGGAATTCCTCATTACATAGTAGAGAGCTGAGCTAATGAATTCCTCTAGTCAATTTAGCAGTCTCATTTATTTACAGTGCATATTTACTGCTCTAATTAACTTAATTTCCTCTTAGTCCATCCATGGAGCTGGAAATTGTTTAAACCGCCAATATCCTGAAGTGACTTTCTTCTTTAGCCAATCCACAATATCAGCAAATTCAAAGAAGACGGTTCACTTTGTTTTGTTTCCAGTTTCTGCACATTTGGAAATGAACCAAAACATAACAATCCCACCAGCACCAAAATAGTAGACACTTCTGACAGGGAGCAGAAATGTATGGATAGGACCACTCTGGGGGTAGACTGGTTCACTCTAGCAAAGACGGTGCCTCTTCACTGGCTTTAGGAGCAATCTGGAAAACTGGCTAAATATCCGTGTAGTCACCCTCTCAATGAGACAGGATTGTGAGAAATCATGGAGCCATACCTTGCTTTGAGAACACATTCTGTCATCTTTAAGACATCACCTTGCCGAGAAAGGTCTGCGTAGTCAAAGCTATGGTTTTTCCAGTAGCCATGTATGAAAGTGAGAGCTGGACTATAAAGAAGGCTGATCGCCAAAGAATTGATGCTTTTGAATTGTGGTGCTGGAGGAGACTCTTGAAAGTCCCCTGGACTGCATAGAGAACAAACCTATCCATTTTGAAAGAAATCAACCCTGAGTGCTCACTGGAAGGTCAGATCCTGAAGCTGAGGCTCCAGTACTTCGGCCATCTCATGAGAAGAAAAGACTCCTTGGAAAAGGCCCTGATGTTGGGAAAGAGTGAAGGCAAGAGGAGAAGGGGACGACAGAGGACGAGATGGTTGGACAGGGTCATCAAAGCTACTAACATGAATTTAACCCAACTCCAGGAGGCAGTGGAAGACAGGAGGGCCTGGCGTGCTCTGGTCCATGGGGTGACAAAGAGTCGGACACAACTTAACGACTAAACAACAACAATATATAATTAATACAAGCAGTAAGGAATTAAGTGATTAAGTTTTTCTTGAATGCTTCCAGTGTTGGAGCACCCGCCAACTCCCGAGGTCACTGGTTCCACTGTCGTATTGCTCTAGTAAGTGGTCCCACTGTCGTACTCCTTCCGCAACACTGGCCTGAATAGACACCAGAGAATCCACGTGGCATATTAACTGAGCCATGTGAAGAGAGGCCTCAGACATGGACTGTAATGATGGTTGCGATGGAGCTTCTGGAAGAACATCAGTGCTGCCCAGGAATCATGGTTAACCTCCAAGAAGCATCCATTTCAAGCGTTGTGTTTTTAGATCCTGTAGAATGTTCTCCATTCCTTTCATGGCTATTTTTACCTGTTTTTTTCTTTTCTTTTTTGCAATTGTTATACATACACACACGTAGGGGACGTGGTGGCGCTGTGGGCTAAAACACAGAAGCCTGTGCTGCAGGGTCAGAAGACCAAGCAGTCATAAGATTGAATCCACGTGACGGAGTGAGCACCCGTCACTTGTCCCAGCTCCTGCCAACCTAGCGGTTCGAAAGCATGCAAATATAAGTAGATAAATAAGGAACATCTCGGTGGGAAGGTAACAGCATTCCCTGTCTAAGTCGCACTGGCCATGTGACCACGGAAAGATTGTCTTCGGACAAAACGCTGGCTCTATGGCTTGGAAAGGGGGATGAGCACCGCCCCCTAGAGTCGAACACGACTGGACAAAAATTGTCAAGGGGAACCTTTACCTTTTACCTTTATAAATACACACCCAGTTTGCGTTTTGGTAAACAGGAAGAGGAATGTCTGATGTAGGGAATCCTCTCAGTGAGGGTGGGAATGAGGAAAATAATTTCCACAGAAAAAACAGCTCTAGTCCAGTAGTTTCCAAACCCTGGAGTCAACAGACGTTCTTGGACTACAACTCCCAGAAGCCTTCACCCCTAGCTGTGCTGGCCAGGATTTCTGGGAGTTGTAGTCCAAGAGCATCTGTTCACTCAGTGGTTGGGAAACACTGCTCTAGTCCCTTATCACTAAATTTGGTATACTGTACATTGGCCCCACTGTTTTCACAAACACATCTGATGAGGATGTTTCTCTGAGGCTGCTCCCAGGTTCTAAAACGCATTCCCTCAGGAGGGACAAAATGTAAAAGGCAAATGATTTATACGCTCTGAAAAGAAACCCTTCACACAATGGTCAGAAGATCTGCAACAATTAGCCTAATTTGAACGAATATCATACAGAAAGGAACTCCATGAGGATATCTATGTAGACACAGTGGTGCCCCGCATAGCGACAATAATCCATGCCAAAAAAATTGTCGCTATCCAGATTCGTCACTATGCGGGGAAAAAACCCCGATAGGAACGCATTAAAACATGTTTAATGCGTTCCTATGGGGAAAAAACTCACCGCTATGCGGAAATCCTCCATCCGGCTGCCATTTTCGCTGCCCGGTAACCGAGGAAAGGGCACGAAAATGCTGCGGTCGGCCATTTTTTTTCTGGTGGCCATTTTGGAACCGCCGATCAGCTGTTTTTAAAACATCGTTATGTGATAATTGGTAAGCGAAATGCTTACCGATCATCGCAAAGCGATGTTTTGCCATATAAAACATTGCAATGCGATCGCTTTTGCGATCGCAAAAAACGCGTCACTATGCGGATTCATCATTAAACGGTGCGCTCGTTAAGCAAGGCACCACTGTATAGGGAAGCCTTTCATTGACTCATTGTAAATGCATAAGATAATTTATTGTGAACGTGTTTATGACCATAATATTTTGTATTGTATTGAACTTTTGTCCATCTGTTTGTTTTATTCACTTGGTTCTGTTTTGTTCATTTTAAACTCTTTTTTTTTAGTGTAATTTAAGTTTATATTGTTATGTTAAACCTACACAAACAAAAAAAAGTTTTTTAAAAAAGGGGAGGTACAAAATGTAAAAAAAAACCCACCATAGCTTCCTAAGCACTTTCTATAGGTGTCTTTCCTGGACAGGTTGTCCAGGGTTAGCTGGTCTCGATACTCTCCTGAATGCTCTTTAACATCTATATGAGACTGGGGGGGGGGGGGCGG